GGGACTTGAGGTGGGGAATGGGATACAAGAAAATTCATTTTTTAAAAAATCTGTTATACAGTCTTCCAGAGCAGGAAAATGAAGATACAGCTCTGTCTAATGAGGCTAGCAAAACATTTTACAAAAGCAGAAAAAGGACATAAATGTAGGCCAGCCTCAGTCATGACCACAGATAGATAAACACAGATCTCAAAGTTGATTTATGATATAAACCTTTACTTTAGTTTAATATGCCATAGAGATGCATACACCAAAAACTGGTAGAAATAAAAGGACAATAGGTAGCTATTTTAAATGCTCTCAAAAATTAAAGAGGACATTGATAATGTAATTACATGGCTTAATCATACTCAGAAGCAAAGTGGTTTTTTCTTTTTAAAATTTTTTATTCTTATTAGTGCGTGTTTGCTGTAGTCATTCCACTGATTATGGGGAGTTGGTACATATACATAACATATACCTTACTTCTTTTTAAGTCCACTTCCCCTCCCTCTCCTCACTCATGGTTCTATTTTTAAAAGGAGATTGTCAATATAGGCAAAATAAATATATTACAGATATTTACAGATCATTAAAACTATTAGGAAACATCTTACCAAGGTTTATTCCTGCAAGGTCATAGAGTTGGAGCTAGGCTGCCACAACTTGCAACTAGCACTTGGCAAACACTTGAAGGTCAGCGCTTTTAATTTTCTGAGGCCAAATCCAGTGCTCTTCCCATTTTTCATCCTGCTTCTCAGGAAGTTCCAGCAGATCAGATGAGAAAAGGCTTTCCTTCCCTTATTCCTCTCCCTGACTTTTACTTAGTGGGCAGATTTCCACAAACATCACTCTGCTGATTAAGGGTCCTGTGCTTTTGCATATGTATGTGCTGAACTTCAAATAAGACAGCACAGCCCACTGAGCACTGCACCTACACGGGAGGAGATGGCAGAGACAAGCAGAGAAGGGAGGGGCCTCTGGGGCCAGACTGGGTGGACTGAAATCCTACCTAGATGCATGCTAACCCGCCATGTGATCTTGAACACAGAGCCCAGAGCCAAGGACAAGATAAAAGTTCAGTAATCGATGCAGACATTCAATAGTATTCAGTTATTTGCCTTCTTTGGAACCATATCACCAAAAGGAAACTACCAGCAAGAGGGTGATTCATGTTTTTTATTTCATTTTCCTCTCTCCAAGGAAAAGAGTCACAAACACATAGGTACAGGGAATGTCTCAAACATTCGTGCTCATGGGTTTGGCTAATGAGTTCACATAGTTCCATATGCTGGATTAATACTGTTGGGTAAAAAGAGCTGAAAACCAGAACCAGACCAGGACCATAAGAAGCCTTTATTATGGGGAGGGTGTGCTGGGCCATCTCTGAACAAAGGAGAGAGCGCAATATGGCTGAGACAGGGAGGCTTCTTAGAGGACCAGGGTGGGGCTTACAGGAGCTGGGGTGGGGCTGAGTGATGCAGTGGCTGGGGACTGGGGGAGCTGTGGCATCACTAGGAGGGGCTGTGTCGTCACTAGTTAGGACCATCTTAAGGAGAGGAAAGTCTAACATACCAGGCTTTTGTTTTATGGTTATTGGGCGAAGGTTTCTTCTGGAGCTGCTTCAAGCTGACAAAGGGGTGAAGGTTGGGGCTACACCTGGATCTGGTGGGGACGGTGGTAGGTGGGGAATTCTTCCCTCTGCCGCAGTGGCCGATACCCCATCATGACAAGTTTTGTGACTGTCTGCTTGGTAAATGCCCTCATGTGGTCCTGCAAGAAACTTTTCAAAACAGCAAAACAGACAGGGCCCTATCATGATTAAAAGACGTATACAAGCCAGGGGGCCCAACAGGGTAGTAGCAAAGGCATAATTTGGGGAAGCCAGGAATAGCTCTGATCCATTTTCCCCAATAATCCTATCATCTCTTTCGCTCTTTAATGCGTTATAGTTCTTTAACCTTTGCTTTAACAATCCCTGACTGGTTAACAAAATCACAGTATTCTTTGCGCAGCACCTAGCATGTACCCCCTTGGGCCACTGTCAGCATGTCAAGGGTCCTTCTATTTTGTAACACGACTGCTGCTAGAGAATTTATTTACAGATGGCTTATTTTATCCATGTCTTCCAAAATCTCTAAGGATGGGGCCTATTAGAAATGTGTGGATGTAGAAATGCCTGCTGTCCCCGCTGCCATCCCAGTGAGGACCCCTGCTCCCATTAAAGGGACTAGAAGGAGTGCTGCCCTTTTGCTCATTGTGTTCTGTGAGAGAACTTGTTTAGATATTTGGGCTTCTGTATAAATGGTCATGGGAGGGCTAAGGAAGGATAAGGAACAGAAAATGTCAGACTTACCGAGGCATCGGAATGCCTCGATTACATATGAAATATGGGCCATTGGACAGGCAGATCGGATGCTCTTCGGAGATAAAGAGGGAGCAAGCAAAGCAAGTGATGTTGTCATTTTGCCTTGTGCATGTCAGGTTAGTGGCTTGTGTAGAGAATGGGAGGCCCAGAGCGAAGGGTCCCAGGACTGTGGACAAATCGCCAGTATTTGAGACAGACAGGTGAAAGTCTAGGGGGAGAGGAACTACAGTGATTGAGCACAGGTAAACAGACATACACTCCACCCTATAAACCAAGCTATAATTTAAGAAAAATCTGATAAATGCCACTTGTCCTTCTAAGCTCTTCCTACGTGGCTGACACACAACAGCATTTCTTGTAGAAATTACTGTTCCTGAAAGCTGGGACTGTGCCAAAGGCAAAACTATCTGACCTATTTGAAATGCCAAGCTTACCTCTAATGAGGAAAAATACTGCCATCAAGAGCTCCCCCCACAGGCACTAAAATGCAAAGGCTAACAATTAGGCAGTAGTGTTTCCCTTTCTTGTTCACAAGTTTCTAATCCAACAAAAATTAGCTTGTTTTAGACTCGTGCTTTGGCCTGCTTCTCTGAGATGAAAATTCACAAGCTAGACACCCACATTTCCTCACAACAGGACACCTGAAGTACGTAGGTGTCCAGGACGAAAGCTCATTGGGGACACTCAAGGATTGGAAGTTGGGAGGTGCCTGAGGTCATGTGCTGTGAGAACAGAAGAAAATGGGGGTGCTTAGCTAAAGTCTGACAGGCTAAGTTGGGGGAGGAATGAGCCTTGTTCTGCGTAGTGCCACTAGTGGGTACAGTGAACAGCAAGCAGATCTGATCTCAAATAAAGGAAGAACATTTTAATCATGAGCACTGCCCACTCAAGAGTGAGCTGCTTTATCTCAGAAAGTGCTTAGGAAGAGATTGAAGGCCAAACGCTGGGAGCCCTGAGGAAGAAACTCACAAACTGCAGGAAACTAAGCCAGATTACATTTAAGATCCCTTTTAGTTCTAAACTCCTGAGAACATATAATAAAACCCTGAAAACTGAACAGTCCTCTGTCGGAAGGCTAACCTGTATCCTCCCTGGTGTTATTCCATATTAAACATCAACATCTTGTGCTTTAATCTCTGACTCACTTTCCAAACAATTTTTTAATTTTTTAAAAATCAAACTAGAGGGTAGACCGCACCAATGTCAGCTTCTTGACTTCAGTGTTATATTATAACTGTGTAAACCTTTATTACCCCTGGAAACAGCCAGGTGAAGGTTTCAGTGGATTTCTGTAGTTTTTGCAACCTCCTGCAAATCTATACAGACATTCCTCATTTAACTACCAAGTTCCAGTCCTGTGGCCAGGTTATTAAATGAATTTGGTCACTAAATGTGGAACTGTATATAGTATGTACAATATTCAGAACAAAGAAACAGCCAAGGGACACTGCAACTCGATGACTTTGGTTTTTATTGGCGTAACTCTAACATACTGTACTGAAATATATAATATAACATAAAACTACAGTACAATCAAAAATTGCAGTACTGTATAAACAAGGGGTACTTTACAAAAAGACACTGAGGCACAGGGGATTTAGCTCAGTGGTGCCACTGCCTGCTTCACAAGCATAAGGTCCTTAGTTCAATCCCCCGTCAAAAAAAGATGCTGAGACTCTGTAAAAAAGATGTACAGAACTGCACACACAAAAAAAGACGGGTTGTAAATCCAAGCAAAGTGTTGGAAATCCAAACAGCACATCTCAGTCATAAGTCCAAAGAGTTGTTAAACAGGTAGGTCATTAAAAAGGAGTATCTGTAATTATTTTGAATGAAAATCTTTAAAAAAATCAAATTTAAGATACTTTCCCAAGAGTGGGGCTTGATGGTGCACACCTGTATTCCCAGTACTTGGGAGGCCGAGGCAGGAGGATCTTGAGTTCCAAGGCCAGCCTGGGCTATATAGCAAGATCCTGTCTTTAAAACGCCAAAAAAGTAAACCAAAGACTCAAGAAACAACAACAAAAATTCCCCCAAAACTCTAGGTAACATCAAAGACAATGGCTACAAACCAGTTTGGCTCAGAAGTCATTAGCCACAAATGACTCTCTACAAGTACACAGGCAGCAGCGTTCATTTCAAAGCCACAATCCATCAGTTTTCAGGTTTATAACTGTGACTAGGTTAAGTCTGCACTGTGCTGACAGGTGTCTTGTACACTTCCGTTATGTGGAATCACCTCATTAAAATCACCTATTGGCAACATAGTCTTACATCTGCTTCCCATATGGTACAAGAAGTGTACAGACTTAATTATTATACTTATCAAACTGTAATATAATAATTTATATATAACCTCCACAACCTTGACTTGCAAGAACTATATCCTGTTCATCTCAATTAGTAACAAAATAAGTAAGAAATAAGTAACAAGTAAGATTTTCTTAAGCTTTTGGTGGGTGATTTTCTTTTCTGATACAAGGACATCAAAAGAAATCTCAAGTCCTTATTTTGGAATCAAAATTAAATATATACATACATGTATGTAACAAAATCTCCAAAACACAGAGGTTTAATTTCTAAAGGTGTTTTTTGTTTGTTTTGTTGGTTTTTCTTTTCTTTTGTTGTTTTTTTTTTGAAACAGGATCTATGTAGTCCAGGCTGGACTTGGACTTGTGGTGATCCTGATGCTTCAGCCTCCTGACTACTGGGATTACGGGTGTGCGCTACTACACCTGGCTCTAGAGATCTTTATAACCACTTGTTTTTGTTAATTTCTAAACCTATGTGTTTTTTTGTTTGTTTGGGTTTTTTTTTGGTACCAGGGATCAAACTTGGGTCCTTGTGCTTGCGAGGCAGGCGGCGGAACCACTGAGCTAAATTCCTGGACCGTGTTTCTGTTAATTTCTTAAGATATCATAACTCAGCTTGATTTAGAATAAAAACGGTTAGGCTCCAGACAGGAGTTAAGTTGTTTGGGTTTTTCTTTGTTGTTGTTTTTGCAGTGCTGGGGCCCAAACTCAGGTCCTCACACATGCCAAGCAAGCACTCTACCACAGTGCTGCATCCCCAATCCCAATGTGAATCACTGAACAGATCAACTCTAGTGTCAAAGTCTCTGCTAGAATGATCTCTGCCTAATTTTATCAAGTGCAAAAATAATCAGCTTCTTTTGGAAATCACCAAGATCAGAATCATCTTTGGATTCTTCAATATCAGCAGGCAAAAAGGATGCAGTGATTATCCTGTGTTTTTATCCAGAGGCCAATCAATGAGGCTGTTTCAAAGACATGGCAGAGGCTTCTTAAGATCCCAGAGACATCAAAGACCCACAGGCTCAAGTCGTATGCACAGGCTCAGGGGCCAACTTGATCCTGAGAACCTCTGCAAAGCCATCACCGAACCAGCAAGTGACGTGTGCTGTGTCCACGGTGAAGTAGAAAAGGCGGTCCTGGCAGAGCTTCCGTCGATACACTGAGCGGGGGTCGGCAGACAGCACAGCCTCGATGGCACACTTTGCTTCCTCTGTTGACTGAAAATACCTAAAGGCTGCCTGACCAGGATCTGCAATGAGAAGAACTCAGCTTACTCTTCAGTATCACACAGGTCGGGCCAGGGATTTAGCTCAGTGCTGCTGTGCCTGCCTGGCAAGAGCAAGGACCTGAGTTTGATCCCTGGTACCACAAAAACAAATCACATAGGTCAAATGTCATGACAGTGGACTTCAATATGGAATGTGGCTGGCTCCTTCCATGTTACTTGAATGAGGTTTGGCAATCTACTCAGTGCATCTCTTTCACTGTTTTACAGATCGTCACCATTACTGCCATTAGATTTAACTGTGTACTCTTAAATTCTTATTTTTTGAACAAAAATAAATCATGCTGGTATTTTTCATTAATCTCCTAGGAGCTTTCATTTTTGTCAACCAAAATGCCACTTCTTCTACTTTCAGTGTAGACTAATTCCTTCTCATTTTCTCAGAACAGAGCCACAGTCAAGGAAATAAATGCATAATGGTCCTAGTATTCTCCGAAAGTCACAAAAAAGTGAACTAAGCTCATATATATGTAGAACACTATTGTAGGGAAGGGAGGGCACATAAGAGGATTAAATGTCAGCTCCACAGTTACAAATAATGCCACACCCCTAACAAATGAAGACAGGTGACACTTTCAGAAAAGAAAGAGACACATGAAGTATTCAACGGCATCACGAGGGAGCCAGCCACTCTGTTCCACCCATGTGCATACTTCAAGAAAATACACAGCGGCTTACTCTGCCAAGGAGCAAAATTTTTGATGTTCATATTGCTCTTAATGTATTTCAATTTTAAAAATTGTAATATACACAAATACAGTATATACAAAGCTTAAATAATAACTACGACAACAACATAATATACCCACATGAAGGCCAGTCCCTTCTGGAAAAGCATGTAGTATAGTGCTGTAAAAATGTCATTCCCATTCAAAATATCACTTGGAGTAGTGATGGGCCTTTGTATCTTTCTTCAAGGGGAATTGATTTTTAAAACAGCCAAAAATAACTATGGGCCATAGCCAGTAAGATAGTAAATAAAGCCATGAAGTACTTTTTTGGATGAAAAAACAAGCCCCAATTATATAGTAACAGGAGTCTCTCATTGCCTGGCTCATAAAATGACAGCAAAAGGCGACTCGAGAAAGAGATGATAAGGGCTGGGGATTTAGCTCAGTGGTTCTGCCGCCTGCTTCACAAGCACAAGTTCCCAAGTTCAATCCCCACTACCCCGCCCCCAAAAAAAGAAAGAGCTCATTGCGGGCCTCCATAGCAGCATTTCAGGCTGAAACTCCAGGCCTTTGTGTGGCTGCTAATGCCCTGTACTCTTATTTCCTGTCTACTCACCTTCTGTAGCTTAGCTTAAGCCCTCTCCTCTCTAGTTCCTCCAAAAAGTTTTCCCATATTTTCTGACCTTGCCCTAATCAGCATCCTTCTCTCCCTTCAATACCCACTGCTTCTGCCCCAACCTCCTGCTCAACCTCTGCGCTAGCATCAATTCCCTCCTGTCAGCTTCTATCAGGTGCTGAACATCCTGCGCCATCTCTTGTCTCTCAACTGGCTCTTTATATGGTTGCTTGCCATCAATAAGTCCTTGTCTTATAGCTACACTGCACAATTTCTTTTAACTATTTTTTATGAGTAAAGCCTATCTGGAACACCTCAGACATACTGCACCACAGACTGAATAACTTTCCACACAGGTACCATTCAACAATAATCACAAGACAAGGGGTAAATGTGACATAAAGTGCTGACCTGGCTGCACTCCTGTCCAATCAAGAAATCCTTTTCCAACTGACCTTCTTCCTCCCATCAAATGCATAAACTGATAACAAAACTTTTTAAATAGAAAGATTTTGAAGTCAAAAGCTCTGTTGAAAAATACAGTCTTAGTAAAGAATGAGAAAGCACGGCCCCCAAGTGGCACCACTGCTCTCACACCCAGGGCTGAGCACCAGGAGGTAGAGGTACTGTCCTGTGGTGGGCGCCTGGCCTAGTCTGGCACAGGGGGCTAACGCCAGCCCCTGAACCCTGACAGGTGCCTCCTCCTCACTTGCAAAAGGCATGAGGGTGGGCTGGCCCTGACAGGGAGCTATGGGGAATCTCCAGAGGGAGCTGTGGCATTTGTCTGTGGCCCCACTGTTTATATATCTTTTCTCATTAACAGGACTTTTTTCGGTTCAGAGTGACAAATGGCAAACACCCTCCTATCCTCTTAATTCTCTCCTTTCTTTTAAAGCAGGGGAATTCTAAAGTCTCTGGTTGTTTAAGCCTTTATGGAATGAAAGGCTTTGTTGTATAATTAAAATTCCAGCCTGCCTTTACCTGCCACTGAGGCTGAACATTCAGAAATCACTTATAGTCCACTCTGGGCAGTGAACTGATACCAGAGAAGGCAAGGCCCTCTGCCTTCCCCTTTCCCCAAGATAAAACTTCCTTGAAATAGCCTGTAAAATCTCATGTCCTCCCTGCAGCCTCTCTGACCTCAGCTCCTTCCACTTTGCCTTTCTTCAGTCTGCTGTTTGGCACCCTCATACACACCATATACCCTCTGTCTCGGGGTATGCACTGGCTGTCCCTCAGGCTGGCATGTCCTTTCCCTGGACAGCTGGCTTAGTCTTTCCCCTCTTTAAGCCCCTAATCATATGTCTTTTCAGGGAGGCTTCCTCCTGCCACCTACTTAAAACTGCCAACACCCAACACTGCTCTGCTCTCTTTTACTTCTGTCTATAGCTCTTCTCGTCTTCTAACATCATATGTTTTCATATGCCTTGCATGATAATCTGCATGCTTACTATACTTTTAGTTTGTCTCTCTCTACCCTATTAGAATGCAAGCTTTGTGAAGGCAGAATTTCTTTTTTAAATTTGTTTTGCTCAATAATATACTCCAACAGTCCAGAACAGTGCCTGGTACCCAGAAGCAGTTCAGTGAACAACTGTAGAATAAACAAATGGATTTTCCTCTTTATATAGCTATGTTGCCTCTTAAGTCATGCAACATGAAGAGCAGCTTTCTACCTTTCCTAAATCTAACATCTCCTTATCAAATGGTTGCTTCGTCTTTTTTTTTTTGTACCAGGGATTGAACTTGGGACCTTGTACTTGCGAGGCAGGCGGCGGCACCTCTGAGCTAAATGCCCGGCCCTTGGTTACGTCTTACTAGCATCACTGTTTGCCCCTTTGAACAGCTCATTCCTTTATTCCAGACAGCTGCTCAGGATCTGCAGTACAATAGGGAAGCCAAATCTCATGTGTTAAGAACCATGTGTTAAACGGGCTCCAGAGAAAGGGCCCTGTGGCCTCTCTCTACAGGAGAATACATCTGTAGTCTGTGGTACTGGGACTTTGCAAGGCAAGTTCTGTGCAAAGAAGCTCTCCCCCCTCCCAGAAGGTTCCTAGAGTCCTCTGTGCCAAGGCTACCTGTTGGAATAAAATGTAATGTTTCTCTAGTCTGGTAGTAAAATACATGAGAAAATGTATCTAAGAGCAAAACAAGCACAATTCAGCAGCTGTTCAAAAACTCTGAGAGTGACGGTAACAGGAAAACAAGGGGTTACCAATCATGGCTGCTGCTGGAGGCAGCCACCATGCTCTGCAAGTGCTGTACTGGGCGCCTAGAACTGTGCTGACCAAACAGCTGTCAAACAAAAGTTATCATATGGCAGTGTTGCACAATTCCAATTTATACTTTTATTTCTCATACTGACCGATACACCCTATAACTTGACCTCAGAAATACCAAACCTGGATAATTCTCATAATGAGTACAAGCTCATTTCTCATTCAGGACTATGAAGCCAAGGATACCTGATTCACCTGAGCTGAGCTGCCAGAGGTCCATCTCTGCATGAGGAGTAAACCGGACTTCTAAAGGGGCCGTGGGTGCCTCTCTCATCCAGGCAGGAACAATGCTGTCAGCCTTCCTGGTCCTGGCCGGGCATGGAGGAGGCATGGGCTGCATCTCCACACTGTTTCCTTGCACAATTAGGGCTCCTTCCCTGCTCGCTGGCCTCTTCTCTGTACCTTCTTCTAGAGGTGTCTTCTCAAGGCCATGTGGGCCCATTTGCTCTTCTGCTACATTCAGACTCTGATGGCTTCTTAGTTTCACACCAAGATCTGCTGCTCTCTCTCTGTGCTTAGAAAAGGGTTGCTGGATTTTTGCTGTATCATTGTGTTTCAGGTAGTTTTCTTCTGAAGTTCTGTCTTCAGGGCATGTAGGTTTCTCCTTAGTGCTTTGGTACAGCTGAGGTGCAACATATCCTGAGAGCTGTTGCTGGTCACAGCAATTAGTCTTACCATAGGTCTGGGACACAGTTTTGGGTTTATGTTGGTTATTCTGCATATTAAAGTCCCGTAGAGGTGCCATCAAATTCTGTGGTGAGTCATAATCAGCTATGTAGGGCTTTATGTCTAGCACCGGTGTGCCATGTATCATGTCAATCCCAGAGAGATATATAGCTCCCCCTAGAAGGTGAACAAAATCCTCTTAAAATATTCACAGTGAAGAACAGCATAAACAAATGGAGGACACAATTTACCCTAAAATTCTCTAACAAACTACCTGTGCCTCACTGAATTCACTCACAGTTCTCTCATACACCAGACTCTGTATACCTACTGTCAACATAAGCTTTTCTTTCAGCCAGAAACCAATCTCTTCTTTACTTGTCCAACTCCTACCTGATCTTCAAGGCTCTCACAGAACATATCTTCTCCAGGCCTTTCTGGCTCTTTCAGAGAAAAGAATTCCTTCTGGGTTCCACAAAGCACCCTATGTACAATCCTCTCCTAGAGCCCCCTTCACATGGAATGGCAATGGCTGCTTAGTCTCTGTCCCTAGTCAGTAAGCATGGCTGGAGTCCTCTCATCTTTGTATCACTGGTGCCTCTAATTGTCCCAGGAATATGACTGTCCTCAATGTATTGCTGACAGACTAAAAAAAAAAGTTTCCATTGAGGGGCTGGGGATGTAACTCAGTGGTGCCAGGCCCTGAGTTCAATTCCAGTACTGGAAAAAAAAGTTTCCACCGAGACAAACAGACTCTAGGTGGCCCTCTGATCCCTGCCTCCTAGTGCTCATGCCCTGTGTAATCCCTCCTTTTGAATGTGACTTTCTTCTTCTATCCAACAGAGTATGTCAAAAGAGTTGTGACATCCTCCACTGATGCTTTCTCATGAGACTCCTGCTTCCCAGAAGACTCATTTGAGAGAGACTCTCTACAACATAAGAAGCCATGGTGTGAAGAGCCATGAAGCAAGGAACTGCAAGCTGCCTCTGTGTGGAAGATGGCCTGCGTGGAAAAGAGCCAACACCAGCAAATAGTTGAGACCCTCGGTCTTGCAACTACCAGGAAGTAGTGGTTTGAAGTGAGTTTTGATGTGGATTTCCTGGTGAGTCCATCCTCCTGACCCACAGAAAGACAGCAATGTTCCAAATATTTTGTCACTGTGTACTGTTTAAACTGATGGACCGGGGATTTAGCTCAGTGGTTCCACTGCCTGCCTCACAAGTGCAAGGTCCCAAGTTTAATCTCAGGTGCCAAAACAAACTGTTGCATTCTTGGTAATCTGCTACACAGCAACAGATATTCATCGAGATTTAAACAAGTGGGGCCAGGGATTTGTCGTGTCCCTGCCTGCCTCACAAGTACAAGGTCCCGAGTTCAATTTACAGTACCAAAAAAAAAAGAAAAAAAAAGATTTAAACAAGTAATCAGCACGTAGATCATCATTGCCAAATATCAAGGACAGGTCTCCTGTCGTCCCACTTGGACAGATATCAACTTTCTGCTTCTGACACAGAGTCTACTAACATGATCCATAGGAAACTAGCCAACTAAAAAACTTCATGTGGTCACATGTGATTCTGTCTCTATTTAAGAAAAATATGACTAGTCAAAGACCCTGATTTCTAAAACATGCATACTGTTAAATGAGCCTGGAACTTCAGAAAGATGATTTTGGATTTTATAAATGATAGGTTATACCTAACAAAGCCTGCAGGAGAAAAAAAGGCATTGTAGCTTAGATAAGAGTTCATGATGAGACTTGTACTTTGTGTATTACTCCCATGCTGTGATTTTTTTTCCTGTGTACTTTAATAAAAATTTTTCCTGGTACTGGGGATTGAACCTAGAGAACACTGAGCTACATCCCCAGGCCTTTTTTAAAATTTTGAGACAGTTTCACTAAGTTGCCCAAGCCCGCCTTGGACTTGTGATCCTCCTGCCTTAGTCACCCACACAGCTACAATCACAGGTATGTAGTACCACACCTCACCAGATTTATTATACTTTTTCTTGTTAACCTGTCTTCTGTTAAAGGGGTGTTGGCTATGATCCCTTCCGATGGGCAGGAAGGAATCACTCCTTTTCTATTCCTCCATTATTTACAATTGATTCTTGTGGGGTTTTGTTTGTTTTTGTTTTTTGGTACCGGGGATCAAACTCAGGACCTTGCACTTGCAAAGCAGGTAGCGGAACCACTAGCGGAACCACTGAGATAAATCCCCGGCCCAGATTCTTGTGTTTGTTCTTTCACCTTTTCTGATTTGATCTCCCCCAACGTAATTTTAAGTTCTTTAGAGCAAGGATTTTTATCTGACTTGGTTATCACTGTGTCTCTAGCACATAGAACAATGCCTAGCACATATTCAGTGACAGAAAATATGTACAGGCTGCGTGAATGACAAAATCTTCCCATGCTGTTATCCATTTTGGTAAGCTGTCACACACTGATTAAAACCCAAGGTGCATGGACCCAGCTACTGAATTTCCTCATTAACCTATCCAAAACCTAGTGGGATGGATAGAGTCTGGCACCGGTGTTTAAATTCTACAAAATTAAGCAAAATAACCACTCTCAAGTATTTAGTGCCTAAGAGTCTGAAAAAGTACTCATAGATTTTTGTCTTACAAGATCCTCAAGGGCCGGGGATTTAGCTCAGTGGTTCAGTGGCCTGCCTTGCAAGTGCAAGGACCCAAGTTCAATCTCTGGTACCCCCTGCCCCCGAAAAAAATCATCCTCAAAAAAACCAAAAAAATAAAAAATACTTCCAATGGAGTCAAAGAGGGCAGATCCTTCAAACTGAAGCCAACTTCTTATCCTTTGCCTAATGAATACACTTATTGTTAGAGTGATTCAAGAATGGCTCGCTCTCTAAAAATGTGTAACTATTACACAGGAATATGCATTAAAACCAGCTTGGTAGTCTACATAGGCCCTTTTACAGTCTGACAGAGCTCAGTCTCCCTCCCTACTTTCCTGGTCCTGGGGATTGAATCTAAGTGCTTACAAATGAGTTACATTCCCAACCTTTTTTATTTTTTGAGACAGGGTCTCACTAAGTTGCCCAGGCTGGCTTCCAAGCTGTGATTCTCCTGCCTCAGCCTCCCAGAGTGCTGGGATTATAGACATGTGCCACCAGACCTGACCCAGATGTTCCATTCATCAGTGTGCTCCATCCTGTAGGCTGCAAGGAAGAAGTCTTTTCAACGTGAAATTTGCAAAGATGTGCCACTGTTTTGCTTTCAGGAAGACCATGCTATACTATACATGCATGTACAGCTAGTTACTGTGGGTCACATTAGAAAGAACCAAATTTTTAAAAATCACTTTGTACATACTATACCCCAACTCTGTAGGGTGGGCAAGCACTCTACAACTGCATTACATCCCCAGTCCTTTAGTTTTATTTATCTATTTTTGTAACACAGGAGCTTGAACCCAAAACATTCACACTGAACTAAATCCTCAGCCCTTTTTTATTTTGAGATAGGGTCTCACTAAATGCTAAATTGCCCAAGTTAACCTGCAATCCTTCTGCCTCAGCCTCCCATGGCACTAGGATTATAGGTATGTGCCACCATGCCTGGCTTGGCTACTGACTTAACCACTATGAAATCTGAGTTTTTCAAAAATAATTTAACGGTTTTTGATTACACAAATGATAACTCTGAGCATCCTATGAGAGTTTACTTCTTAAAGAGTTCTCATTGCTAACATCCTTTTAGTCATCAGATGTTCCTCAACATCTGGGGACTCTCAGGAGTTAATATCAGTGGCATTCATATGAACAGCAGCCGGCAGTGAATGCTATGCTGATTTTACAAGACTTTTGGGAGTAAGAAAAGGATAAAAGTAAAATGAAATGGGTTACCTTCTACCTTTTCCAGCTTGGCCAGGGTCAGTCCTATTGCATTGGGGCGATGAGGGCTCCTTGTGGAAAACACTCCAGTCTTTGCACCATTCAGTCTTGGGGGCTGCACTTTTGCCTTATAGCTCAAATGACCATTTTTGTGAAAAACAAACAAAATCCTATGGAAAGTAAATCAAATCACTGAGTAAAAAAAAAGAATACAAGTTATTTTATTGTAATGATTTGGGAGTAGGGAATGTCATCCTTCACAAATTAATAGAAAAAATGTTTTTAATGGAATTAAACAGTCAGGGAGCAAATAATATCATTCTTCCTCCTTCAAGGAAGAGAGACATCCTTTGCATCTAAGGCAATGATTGATATCCAGTACGAACATAACAGGTATTTGTCGTATGCCTCAATAAACAATACTAAGTGCTTCCCAAGCAGTATGCCAGACATTTTTAATACTCGTATCATGTAATTCTGTTAATAATCTTAAGAAAATATAATTTATCCTTCCTTTTAAGGATAAGGAAAATGAAACTCCAAAATATGAAATAACTTGACAAGGCCTTCCTAAACAAGACAAAAACAAGAAACAATAAACAAAAATAATGACATATTTGAAATCATTAAATTTCTTATTATAAAATGCCACCTAAGAGGAAATTCTGCTATATACAATGGGTTAATACCTTTGATATATAAATTATTCCCAAATAAATCACTAAGTAAAGCTGGGTATGGTGGTACTTGCCTGTAAACTCAGCACTCTGAGAAGCAGGAAGATCAAACATTTGAGCCCAATCTGGATAACTTAGCATCTCAGTGAGACTCTGTCTCAAAATAAAAAAGGGGCTAGGAAGCCGGGCATGGTGGTGCATGCCTGTAATCCCAGCACTCGGGAGGCTGAGGCAGGAGGATCGCTGTGAGTTCAAGACCAGCCTGGGCTACATAGTGAGTTCCAGGTCAGTCTCAACTACATAGTGAGACCCTGTCTCAAAAAAAATAAGGTGGGGGGGCTAGGAAGCTGGGCTTGGTGACACACACCTATAATCCCAGTACTTGGGAAGCTGAGGCAGGAGGACAGCAAGGAGTTCAAGGCCAGTCTGGGCTAACACAGTGAGTTCAAGACCAGTCTAAACTGCATAGAAAGACCCTGCCTCAAAACAAAACAAACAAAAAAACAAGGGCCAGGGATGTAGCTCAGGGGTGTTGCACCTGCCTGGCAAGTGTAAGGTCCTGAGCTTGATTCCTGGTACCAAGGGAAAAAACCCAACCAACCAAACAAAAGACATACCAAAAAGAAAGGGCTAGAATGTAGCTTAGTAGAAAGACCCTGGATTCAATCCCCAGTACCCCCCATACAAACATTCATACACGATCACTAAGTAAAAGATAATACAGTACAATACAGGACACTAAGCAAAGAACATAAACAGGCAATTCATAAAAGAATTACAAATACCTAGCAATCATATGAAAAGACATTAGGCATCACCAAGGATTAAAAAATTACCTTAAAAATCAAACAACTGTTTTCCCCTATCAGACAAAAATGTAAAGCACTAATAGCATACAGTGTTGGGGAGGGTGTACACTGCTGAAGTGTAAGTTAGTTAACTTTAGAGGGCAATTTGGCAGTGGTTCTCTCCAAAATTATAAACATGCATACCCTCTGGCCCAATATTTCCACTTATAACATCCTATCAATAAAATCACAAGTGCCCAAGAATATGAATCCAAGGAACTTTGTCACAGTATTGTCAAAATAAAATAGTGCTCCATTAACAAGGGTGTGGTCAAATGATGGTACATCTATATTTTGCAATAATAGCAATTAAAGCTAAAAAAAAGAAAAGACAAAAGGTAAATCTATATGTACAAACATGAAGGCCAGCCAGGTAGCAGGAGAATCACTGAGAGTTCAAGGCCAGCCTGGGATACAGAGTGAGTTCAAGGCCTATTTGAACCACACAGTGAGAATTTGTCTCAACAAAACAAAACCATGAAGGTTCTCCGTGATACACAGTGTTAAGTAAAGAAAACATCTTACATTTTTAAAATCAAACACCCACTCTCAATGTAAATATTTATGGTTTTATGTATATTACAAAGGGAAAAAAGAAACAAGAAAATAGGCTGGTATGAACTAAATCAAACTGTTAATTATAACCTCTGAAGAGTGTTGAAAGGTAGGGATGAGAGACAAAGAAAATAGGAGGGGTGAAGAAAAATATCTATATACTTCTGAATGCAAGCAATGTTTTATTAACTTACATAATTCAACCAACATCACACAGACTAGGTCAGAACACTTATGTTTTTGTAATTACCTATATTCTCAAATTAACAAGAAAACCTGTTTCAGAATAAAATCTTAATCTAATTTGAGGTCTCCACCAGTAAAACGAGACCAATTCAGACTGCTAATGTTGAGGGTGAGGAAGAATGGACAGAATTCCGTATCACGGTGAGTGGTCTCCAGATTTCTAAGGTCTTTTGTATTTTAGAAGAATACATGAATTTTAGAGAATACTCTTCATGACTCAAGAGCATGAGTCTACATCTTTTTCTGTAAAAGATGAGATAGTATTTTAGAATTTAAGACCAGTCACTCAGTACTATAACAATTCAACTCTGCTACTGTGGCAGGACTGCACAATAGCAGCCACACACAATACACAAACAAATGTGCATGCCACAGTGAACAGCCACAGACAATACCTACACGAAAGGGCATGGCTGCGGTTCCATAAAACTAATGTACAAAGGCAGTGGGCCATATCTGGTCCACAAGCTATCGATCAAGCACTCCTGCTCATGGGGTTAGCATAATGACCCATGGGCAGAAGAACCAGGGAGATCTACATTTTCAGTTCAACAAAAAGGATTCCTCACAACTAGAAACAACTGCAAATGAAACACACCCTCTCAGTGACTCGACCTTCCCTGAAAGTGTTCAAATGATGCAGACAATCACAAATGCAGAACGAGTATTCCATACAACAGACAAGGGTGTTCTGGATGCCAGACTCCAAAGCTGTGCTCCACTGGGGTATTTTACTCTGGGGCAAGTTCTGGCCCAAAATACCACTTCTAACTGTAAAAATAACTTACCAAACATGAGAAAACTGTTCTAAGCCCATCAAGGAATGTTCAGGATTATTAAAGATGCTCTTTCTAATCCTCAAACAGGCACGTGAATGGGAACAGATGGATGGCTGCCGTGGAGTTCCATTCTTGGCTGTGAAACAGGATTCCAAGTAACCTATTGGCTCAGTTAAAAGATTTCCTATGGAAGAACATTAGGTAAGAAATCATTAGTCAAAAGCCCATTAGAAAACATGTTTTCTCTAATCCATTCATTTCAGTTTTAAATCTACTAGATATGATGCAACAATTAATATTATTGGTTTAGCCAGGCATGGTGGCACATCCTATAATCCCAGCACTCAGGAGGCTGAGGCAGGAGGACTGCCATGAGTTCAGGCCAGCCTGGTCTACATAGTGAGTTCAAGGCCAGCCTGACCTATAAAGAGTGACCTTGTCTCAAAACGCCAAAATAAAAAAATAAATTAAATTATTGGTTTGTTTTGAGATGGAGTCTCCCTGTGCTGCCAGGCTGGCCTGGAACACCTTTCAAGTAGTGGTAACTACAAGGCATGCACCACTGTGCCCAGAACATTCTGAATTTATAGATAGGGTTTTCCCCCATATTTCATAAGGGACTAAGTTCTTTGAAGAAATAATATAATATTGGACGTCTTTGACTTTAACTTTATTATTTATTTTTGGCTACTGGGAATCAAACTCGGGCCCTTGCGCTTGTGAAGCAGGTGGTGGAACCATTGAGCCAAATCCCTGGCCCATGACTTTAATTTTATTTTCAATTTCAATTAAATCTATCCTACCAGCACAGCAGTTAAGACCACAGGTCTGGAACTGTTGCTCACAATGTCTTTCATTACTTCTCACTTATAAAACTTACGTTACTTGATACATATAAAAGAGTATATGCAACATTTATGTAAGTTATAAGCATAATATTATAATGAAACCCTCTGTACCCAACCCACCACCCCCACTGGAGAAGTACTAACAATTTGCAACCTCTTTGGCTGTGCTCCTCCTATTCCATAACCTTCCTTCCTCTGACATAAACAGCTTAAATTTGGTTTTATCTTGCATTTTCTTTTTTTAAATATGTTTATCACATGTACATGTATTTGAGCTCTACAAAAATTAGTATCAAAACGCTGGGGATTTAGCTCAGAGGTACTATGCCTGCCTTGCAAGAGCAAGGTCCTGAATTCGATCCCCAATGCCAAAAAAAAAGGTATTAAACTGTAAAGTATCTTCTATCTTCATCTTCTAGATTTTTATATGAGTCATCCACACTCTGTATGCTTTTCATGACTTTAAATTTTTTCCAAGTATGCTGACAAGCGGTTTTTTTTAAAAAAATTTGTTTGGTTGGTTGTTCTGTTTTTGTTGTGTTTAATCCTCATCCATATGGTAAATATCTTAAAAATGAAGAAAATAAGGCCAAGTGATCTGATGTTCATTAAAAAGTCAAGTTGGCCAGGGATTTAGCTCAGTGGTTCTCCAGCTCCTGCTTTGCAAGCATAAGGACCAGAGTTTGATCCCCATACCAAAGAAATAAAGAAAAAGAGAGA